CATTTGATGTGCTGACCTGTTTGACTTATTTAATGAGACAAATGAAATCAACTAATTTAGCCCCTTGAGTTTATAAACAATTCAACTGGCCTACTAAGTGATTTGTTTTATATCTCTGAAATTATTATTATTATTCAACTCACACTATCAATTTTCCTCCTATTTTTTGTACAGATTTCTGGATTAGTTACTTTACAATCACTCCAATATTTTCATATGCCCTACTAATCATTGCCAAAAGATTCATTTAATTTGGCTACTTCAATCTTCACAAGGTAAATTTTCCTGTTTCTCATACACGATTTGTTATTTATATATATGAACCATTTATCTTGTAGTGCTCTTCTTTTTAATTGATTGTTTAGACTTTGTTACAAGTATGGCAAAATGTAGAATTAATTAATTTTAATTAATTTATTATGAACTAACATAAAATATTCAATTACTTGTCCAATTTTATAATTGGTTAAATAATCAGCTTTGTTTTGATAGAACCCCAACTTGCAAGTCACAGTAACTTGCATGAGGTCAGACTAACCAATAAAGGGTACATCTAAATTGTGTGTATAATTGTTTCGAAAAAATCTATAAGTCTTTATAATTTCTTTCAATTTTAAATTATGTCTGTGTAATTTATTTTATATTAATAGAATTTTTATAGTTCGATTCGTTAAATCCATCTATCCTTGAAGCTTATAACCTCCAAGTTTCTTTGTTTTAAAAAAATTGAAATTTAAGTTGTAGGTTTAGGATAGTTTAGACTCAAAACTCATTTTTTGTATAATATTTCTTTTTAACATTTAAAAAATATGCAATATTGCTTTTGTCATAAATAAATATTAACTCTGACCATTAGTTAATAAAAATTATAAATAATGTCCTAAAAAATTATACAAAATGACTCATAAAATTATAGAAAATGATCTATAAGATAACTAATAACTCAAAATTAATTTACACAAGTATCAAAAAAAATTTTGGCCAAAAATATTAAATCAATTCTCATATAAACTTCACAAGTGTTTTTCATTTTGAAAAATTAATATTTCATTAATGACCTTAACTTCTAGGGATTAACATATATATATATATATATATATGTATGTATGTATGTATCTAATAAATCCAACTATAGAGGCTTGATTCAAATAAAATAAATTACAAGAACCTAATTAGAAATTGAGAAAAACTATAAAGACTTGAGAATTAACTTTCCCTAATAAGTTTGTATATGTCTTTTGATATCTTAAAGTGATTAAAAATTTGTCAGTATCTTCATTTTTGGATTTTATTTTAATCGGTTTTTTCATTAAATCCTAAAAAAAAAATAGGCTAATACTTTTTTGGGTTAAAACAAAATGCCCCCACAAGTGATTATATCCTTGTAGTTTTTTTCGTTTGAAATGAGTCCTTATAATTTGATTAATTAAATATATCTGTCCCCACAAGTTAAAATCCACAAATTTCGTCCTTAAAAAACTAAAATTTAAGCAATTTTATATTCTATTAATTGATTAAATAAATTTATAATTAAATATATAATTTTCATAACTCAAACATAATTTACACAAGTGCTAAACCAATTTTTCTTTGTTAGCCAAAAGTGTTAAATCAAATTTCAAAAGTGTTTTTTTTTTGTAAAATTAATCTTTTATTAACAATTTAAGCTTTTAGGGATTAACAAATCTGATGGACCAAACTATAAGAATTTAATTCAAATAAAATAAACTACAGGACATAATTTAAAATTGACCAAAACTATAAGGATCTTAGGATTAATTTTTTCTAATTATTTTTATGTGACTTTTGATATCTTAAAGTGATTAAAAATTGTCACTATTTTCATGTTTTTGGATTCTGATTTCATTAGTATTTTTCATTAAGTCATACAGAAATTAGGCAAAGATTTCTCTGTTTTTTTTTTTTTTGGGTGTTAGAAAATATGCCCGCCCGCATGTGGGGACAAATACAACTAAGTAAATCTCTCATTGGAAACTAATAAAGTCAGTATTGCATATTTAAAGTTGATGCTTCTTACGTAAATAAAGCATTTTAAAACTTTCTTCTCGTTTCTTTTAATTTTTAAATGGCACACAATAATTCCAATTAGTTTCTCTTCATGGAACATCACATTTTCCTCCATATTTTTTTTTTGTTTTTTGGATTGGATACTTTACTATTTAATTTGTCTACTTCAATCTTCGCAAGGTAAATTTTCCTATTTCTAATGCATGATTTGTTTTATTTTTATATTTATGAACCATTTATCTTGTAGTCTTCTTTTAAATTGATTGTTTAGACTTTGTTAAGAGTAGACATAAATTGATTCATTACTTGACCAATTTTGGACTTAATTAAATAATCATCTTTTTTCCTTTATATAGAACCCCAACTTGTAATGCATAGTAAGCTGTTCCAGGACACTAACTAATAAAGGATAAATCAAATTGTGTGTATAATTATTTGAGAAAATTAATCTACAATTCCTTAGATATAATTCCTCTCAATTTTAAATTAAGTCTTTGTAGTTTATTTTGTTTGAATTGAGTTCTGAAGATTGGGCTTCTTTCATTCTATTTTCTATTTTGGTGTTCTTAAAATAATTCTATAGAGTAATGTTTTAGAACAATTTTAGGAAACAAAAAAATTAATAAAATCTGTTTGAATCATTAATATGAAAAAATATCTAATGTGGTGAAATAAAGAATGAAAGAATTATTTATCTTATTAACATAATTGTCATAAAGGAAAACATGATCTTTTCTATCTTTTCTCTTATTTTAATTTAATTTGCAGCAAGCAAAATAACAAAACATTTAAAAAAAGTTATGATTTTTTAGTTTTTCAGAACAACTTTTATATTTTTGGTTTTCAAAAAAATAATAGTAAACATATTTTCAAACAGGTTTTTAAATATTTTTGTTTTTAAGACAAAAATTATTCTCAAAAGAGGTAATAAAAAAGTCACAAATCGTAATATTTCTCCTTTATGTTATTAATTTTTATAACTCTAGATTAATTCAAACAAGTATTAATCTCTTTCTTTTTTTTTGTCGAAGTTATTAAATCAAATTTTATATAAACTTTTAATTTTTGGTCTAGGAAAAATTAATATTTTATTAATAATTTTAGCCTTTAGAGTTTAGCATTAACATATCAAACTATAAAATTCAAAAAAAAATAAATTATAAGAACCTAATAAAAAATATGGAAAAAACTATAAGGATGTAGGAATTAAATTTTCCAAATTATTTTGCTCGTGACCTTTGGCATCTTAAAGTAATTGAAAATTTGTCACTATCTTAATTTTTGGATTATATTTTCATTGGTTTCACTAAGTCATGCATAAATTAGGCAAAGATTTTTTTTTTTGGGGTTAAAAAATATGACCTCACATGTGGCGACCATTGCTTTCACATGTTTAATATTGAGGCTTCTTACATAAATAAAGAATTTTTAAACTTTCTTCTTTGTCTTTTAATAAAAAAATTACAAATAGGTCCTATAAAAAAAATTTATTCACAATTAAGTCTTGCAGATTTTTGAAAACACTCTCAAGCCCCATGGGACTTGTTTGTAATTAATTTATCATGTAAAATGATACAGATGCACTTGGATCATACTCCTTTGGTCAACAGCCATTGATAGGTCACAAGCATCACATTTTTTATTAAATTTAAAATAAATTAAAATTTTAAATTATTTTTTTAAAAATATTTTTATTAAAGTATTCATATTTTATTAAATCAAACATCACAGATTTACAACAAAATCTTTAAGATTCATAGTTCAAACTTTTTATATTTACTAGTCAACTACTTATAATATTAATAACTCAATACATAATAGTCAAGTTCATAAATTTACATGTTAAACTTCAGACTTATAATTTAGACATCTTAACTTTATTTGCAAATTTATAAAAAATACTTTTAACCTTAACAAGTCAATATTATAAATTTAGAATCAACATGGCAGATTTAAAGGTGAATGTACATAATTTTTGCAAGGGTTCTTCAAATTTATAAATTGATTCACAAGTCAAATTTTAAATTTATAAGTCAAACTAAAAACTTATAACTTAACAAGGTAAAATGCTTAGTTTATTTGTATGATTTGAAAATTTTGTAAATCAATTTGTAAAATTTGAAGAACCAATGCAAAATTTATATAACCTCAATTGTAAATATATGAGGTTGACTTACAAATATACGAGATTGAATGAAAAATATTAAAGTTTTAATTTTTTTTTCAAGACATACTTTTAAATTTAAGAAGTCTGACTTGTAAATCTACAAAATTTAATTTGTAAATATTAATATTTTAATATTGCAAGATGTTTACTTGTAAATGTAATAAATTTTACTTATACATCTTGAACATTTACTTGTTATTCTATGATGTTTGACTTGCAAAAAAAAAAGGTATTAAAATGTTAATAAAAATATTCTTAAAAAATATTTTTGATTAGTCAATGTCAATCGGTGACTGGTCAACATCTGCTGGTGGTCTGTCAACAGTGATCAATGCTAGTAAAAGGGTGTGAATCAAAGAGCATTTGTGTTTGCATAGTAAATTAAATGTAACCAAGTGCCATGGAACTTGAGAGTATTTTTACAAATTGTGGGACCGACATATAAATAATTTTGTTATATGGGACTCATTTGCAAGTTTTCCTTTTTAAATTCTTTTAAAGTTCATTTACAAAAAAATTATTTTTGTACTAGATATTACTTAGTATCATTGGGCATTGAGTTCATAAGAATTTACATAAGTTATGCTCTCTTCGTATATTTCATTGAATGGCTAAATTTGTTAAGCATCAACAGTAGGTATGCTCATAAATGTTTCTCATTTATTATCCATTTATTTATGTTATGTTTAAGATAAAAAGTTACCTCTCACTACCATGGAGATATGCACCTTTGTTTTATCAAAGATTGTGAAGAACTTTATCAATGAATCGATTCACTAAGCAAATTATCCATTTTGATTCAAAAGATATGTTGAAGATCTTGTCAAAGGAAAAGAGATTCTTCTAGCACAGAGAGAAAGCATAGATGATTGTGTCACAAAAGCTAAACAAGAAACTAAAAAGATTGATATTCTTGTTACGAAGTGGTTGGATGAGGCAGACACGCTTATAGTTGATACAGTGTTGTTGGAAGAGAAGGCCAAGGCAAACAAGAGTTGGTGTTTTGGGCATTGTCCCAACTGGATTTGGAGATGTCATCTTACAAATCAGATAGAAAAGAAGACAAAGGAAATAGCTAATCAAGGAGACAAATGCAAATTTGAGCTATTTGCACACCCTGCTATCCCACCAGACATAACTTATTATTCTTTCGAAGGGTTTTTCTTGTTTGATAGCACCAAATCAGCATATGATCAACTTTTGGAGGCATTGAAAGATGATGATGTTTCCATGATTGGATTGTATGGAATGGGTGGTTGTGGCAAAACCACCTTAGCAAAACAAGGCGGTAAAGCGACGAAGAATCTTTTCAATAGAGTTGTCTTTTTTGTTATATCTAGTTCTGCTAATGTTTCGAGGATTCAAGATTCTCTTTCATGTGAACTAGGTGTCACTCTTGAAGGACATGATAACCAAGCAAAAGCTAAAAGCTTGTCGTCGAAGCTAGACAATGCAGGAAATATTTTAATAATTTTAGATGATGTGTGGGAGAAGCTTGATTTTGAAAATATAGGAATTCCCTTTGGTTCCAATTTCAAGAGATGCAAAGTTTTAATAACTACACGACATGAAACTATATGTGCATTAATGGATTGCCAATGGTCTGTTAACCTGCATCTGTTGAATGGAAGAAGAGGCATGGAGATTTTTCCAATATCATGCCAAGATTACTAATCTAACCTCTGAAAGCATGAAGGATTTAGCAAAGCAAATCGCATATGAGTGCAAAGGATTGGCTATTGCAATAGCAACAATCACTTGCACTTTGAAGGATAAAGATATTGCTGAATGGGAAGAAGCTTTGGAAAAATTAAGAGATTCTGATTGGATGAATATTGCAAAAGGTCTTTAAGATCCTTACCTAAATCATTTTTCTCCATGATCAATTTCTATTGTATATATCAAGAAATTAAATTAATTTCTTACTTAGGAAGCTGGAATATCTTTTCAAGTTTTTCTAGTCATATTATATATTTATAATAAGATGTATATTATTTGCAATATTAATTATTTTCAATAAAATATTTGAGTCCAATGACATATTAAAATAAACATTGATTTTTTTTTTGTGGTTATTTACTTAGTTAGAAAGTTTATCTTGACTGCATGTCTTACATATTTCTTTTTCTTTTTAAAAAGATTAACATTAACGTTACACCAAAAAAGAATAAAGATTAATACTAACTATTTATGTGGACATTCATATCCGTCAATTATTTTGGTAAATTACAGGTAATTAATGTATTTTGATATTAACTTTATTATATAAATACAATGCTCGTTTTCTTTGTTTAGTTCACACACACACACATATTAGGACTTATTCTTTTGGAGGATTGAGAGGAAAATAATGGTTTTGCAACATACATGCAAATTTCATATTATTTTAAGTTCGGGTAAAAAAAAACAATAAACTAGAGAAAATCATTGTCTTATTTTGTTAATGTCATAAGTTTAAATTCTAGGTTCAAGTAATAATTGAACAAATGCAACTTGAATAATATGATTTTTTTTCTTACTTTTTACAAAGCATTCTCTTCATGATCATTTATACTTTTTGACAGGAATTGAGATCACTTCCACTAGTCACTCGAAGTACCCAAATGAGTTATGAAGCTACTCTTTTGAAAACTCTTGAAGATATTACGATTGTAGATTTTCAAGAGATAGAAATTTGTTTCAACTACAAGGACTTGCCCTCCATGAAAAGCCAACACCATTGGCATCAATCTTGACAAAATTGGAATTGCATAATCTTCCTAAGTTGAGATATATATGGAATCAGGGTCCTATGCAATGTATCAGTCTTTAAAGGCTTGGGAAGCTAGATATCAATGGATGTAATGAATTAAAAAACATTTTCACAAGAAGTATTGTGAGAAGCCTACCATGTGTAAAGTGTGATGAGTTAGAGCAAATCATTGAGGAAGGGGAATCTTATTACCATTTGAAAAGCACTTCAAATTCTTTTACTCTTCCCCTACGTAGCCCCCAAAACATAGGTAAATATAATCACCTCTTATATTTTCTTCTTGGTTTTTTTAGTTTTTTGGCTCATTAATTTTAAATATTACGTTATGAAAAACACTTTTAAAGACTAGAAATAAAATTAAATATAGTGTCATAAGAAAATGTAAGAGACGTAAATAATAAGATGAAGCAAAATAGGTGTGACCTTAAGTTTTGAAAGTAGTTAAGTTTTGATATTGCTTATCTTTGGATGAATATGGTTTTAACAAGGACATCAAATTTTTGCCGTTTTTCTAGGTTGTTTGTAAGAGACTGTCTAAAGTTAAAATGGTTGTTCACACTACCCACGGCTCAAACCTCAACATCATTGCAAGAGTTGACAATTGAGACATGTGAAGGTTTGCAATATATTATGAAAGATGAGACGGCTAAAGGCAATCAGAAGAGCACCGAGGAAGTAATCGATGATCATGATAGGTAGGACATGCTTCCACATCTCTCATACTTATTTTTGAAAGATCTACCACATCTCATTGAATTATACAAAGGGTTGCAGTTCCAATATGTGAGCTATCATAAAGTAGTGAATTGTCCAAAGCTAATTCCATAACCATCAATAATAGATGCGCATTGTCCTTCATTTTTATGAATTCCTTTTTGCTAATTCCAATAATTATATATGATTATTGATGGAACAAACAAGATAACCAACTCAGACCAAGTATTACACTGACATACTTTTGTAAAGCTTTAAGCCTTCAATTTCTTGCAATCTCAAACCATGTATGCATTTACTAATTTCAATCATGACCTTTCTAAGCTAAATGCATAGATACAACTGTAATAGCCCATAATAATAATAATAATAATAAGTATAATAAGTATAAGTATATATTTATAAGTTAGTGTTTAATAGTAGTTATATTAATTTTGGAAACGTGTTTAGCAAGGAGAAGTGTTGGTTTAGTTGAGTCAATATCAATCCTATAGCTATCAAGTCTCAAGTTCGAACCAATTCTAGGGAGAAGTTTTATTTCTTTTGCCTATATGAAATTACCATCGTACCCTCCTTCGCATTTGATAAATTCTCTTTCATTTCTTCTTATCCAGTCGGTGCACATACACACACAGAGAAAGAGAGAGAGAGAGAGAGAGTGTGTGTTGTGTGTGTTTAATATTGCTCTCCAACCTTCTAGCATAACTCACTATCTCTCCCCTCTTTACTCTTGGCTATCACCGGCAATAGAGAAGGCTCGCCACTGCTTAGTGATGTTTAAACGCTCCTTCATGCATGCGGACTCTATTTTTTTTCTCTTTTTCAGTCTGCTGCTTCTCCGTGCTATTCATGTTCAAGTTGCAGTTAGAGTGAAGGACCAGGTCATTAAAGCTAAAAGGTTCTACTCATAAGTTCTTCCTTTCCCAACTCAACCATGAGCTTTGTGGGTTGCTTCACTAGTCCTTGCTCCCTGTTTCTATTTTTTTCCCTCTATTGTGCCATCCGCGTCGTTTTGAGAAACAAAACACTGCTGCTAATGGCAGTTCCATTAGCCTGTAGCATGCTGTAATTAAACATTAGCTAGTTTGTTTCGTGAGTTTTATTCTCACGTTTGGTATTCGTGGGCCTTGTACCCGTGTTTGATTTTGTGGCCTAAGTTGCGTTTGGTTATTTATCCTCATAGACTGTATGTCCATGTTTGTTTCATAGCTTTGGCTACGTTTGGTTACTTACCTCTATGGACTGGTGTGTCCACATTTGTTTTCATGGCATAAGCCATGTTTGGTTATTTACCCTCGTGGACTATGTGTCTACCTTTGTAACTTGTTTTGTTGAGTTCTTAAAATTTTAAACGTTGATTAATATGTGTTTTTGAAATTTACATGATTTTGGCTAGCAATTTTTACCACTTTGAGTTATATGTGAGCAAATTGTTTTCTTTAAGCATGATAACATAAATTATTTTCAATTTACTCTTAGTTTACAATTATGGTTATGACTTACAGGCTTATAAATTTTGTGAAATTACTTTGAATTAGTTGACACCATTATTAGAGTTTGATGATTTAAATTTTAAAAATTTTACCATGGGAATGCTATTCACTAGAAAAATTATTTTCGCCTCAAATTTGTTAGCTGACGCCGATACCACCATTGACCTCTAAAGGGAAAAATAGCTACAGTGGGAGGAAGTTTTGGATTGGTACTGTTACTTTTAATGTAAATATATAATTCATATATCTTTTTGATTTAAAAGAAAGATTAGATGCTCTACATAGATTGTTGGTAGACTTTATTTTGGTTTGTATATTGGTTGCTAGCTGGAAGGAGCTACGCTCCTAATTTATACTGTTGTCTATAAAAATTTCTATTGTAGAATTTTCGAGAGATCCTAGTTGCAAGAGAGGTTCTGTCAAAATTTTTACAAAAAAATATCGACACTTTCTTATGATAATGAGTTTAAAGGAATTATTTTAATTCTCATGTAATTTGATTAATTTTTTTTCTTTTATAAAATGGAATAAATGTTCATTCTAAGGCTTACGAGAATGTGTGAGTGGTTCACACCTGTGCCGGTCACCCTCTATTTTTGGGGCGTGACAACAACAACCAAAGATAAAAACCAGCAAGTCCCTAAGGACTTTGAGAAGGACAAAACAATTGAAGAAGGAGAAAACAAATTAGTTCTATATGAGCTCAACAAGGCAGCAAAAAACACTATTTTAGAATCAAAGTATCCTCTCCAAGAAACTTCTTATTTCAACACTAAAGCTGGTCCTTCAGGTGATACTTGTGACTCCTATGTCTGATTATGGGCTACTTCTCTCTTATTATACTATCTTCTATGATTCTTTTTTTGACTTCAATTTGTACAAAATAGGAAACGTTGCAATTTCAAGTATGCCATTGAGACCATCCTTAAGTGAATGCTCTATTCAAGCTATGCCACTTGAAAAGCTAACCCATAACTTCCTTTGTTTTATGGAGAATAATATGGTGCTTTTGCATATAGATACTAATGGCTATGCTGTTTTTTTCCTCACACAAATTTGTGAATTCGATATAGGCGTAATAGTTTTAAGCAACTAATTTGTTAATAAAAGGCATATTGTTTATCAAGAACAACAAATCACCAGGCGTGCCAGGGACACTGAGTCTCAATGAATAATAAAGGGTTTCCTAGCTACCTTATCATAGTTTACTTGGATGTAAAAGATATGCAAGATTTGATAACACAAATGTTTGATTACTACTAAAAGGTTATAGAATGAAAACGGTTATAAGTCTGGAATGAAAAATAACTAACTGATAAACCTAAGAATTATAGGTGCAAAGTACGAGTCTTTCCAGTGATGTCCGCTTCTTATGTGATTTGGTGCTTTATTTATAGTGATTTCCTTAGAATCTAGAATGTTCTTACAAATAATCAAGGATTCTATGAAATTCATGGCATGGTCTTTAATCACTATTTTCTATTTCTACTAACTAGCTCGTTTTGTTGAGATACTTGGGCAGATGATTTTGTTCCTATGGGATACAAGGTCATTTGAGATTGTGCCTTTATGAATTAACGATCTACAGAGTGGGTTTGTAACTAGCAATATTTTGGCATGCTCATCTGGCCGAGGCTTTTTATTGAGATCAAGGCTGGCCCTTTTGTTTAGATCGTTGATTAGGCTTAACTCTTAAGTTACCTAACCCATATGGCTTTATAGCCTACTCAAAGGCTTTGGCAAGTGACGTTTCATGTTTAGCCCAAACAATGCTCCCTGTGTGCTAGTAGCTAATAAATGTAAGCCACGTGTCATATTTGAAAAAGATTGAAACGTCGTTTCATCTCTGAGCACCTTTTTGTTAATATAAATTCTTGTTTTCTTTTCCTATTCATGCTGACATTTTTGGGGAGATGGCAAAGAACTTATGATTTTCCTCCAACTGTCTATCCATGTACTCTTGAATTCCTTACTGTTAGATATAATCAACGGATTTATCTATTCACTTCCTAGTTTTGGCCCAGGGCTTGTGCTGTTATTACTTGTTGACATCAGCACTACGTGCTTATGACGTTCAGCCGTCTCAGCTTCAGGCATCAATGGTTTTAACCCTGCGAGTGCAGAGTTTCCCTCTAGTTCGTGAGAACTAGCACTTGTTTCATCAGTCTTTTTGTCCTTTCTTGACCTTGCCATCTTGTTCCATAGGTCTCATTGGGCATGCCAAAAATTATTTGTCAAGAACAACAAATTACTAAGTGTGCTAGAGACACTGAGTCTCACTCAATAATAAAGGGTTCCCGAGCTCTCCTACCACAATTTACCCAAATATAAAAGATACGCAAAACTTGGTAGAACAAGTGTTTAATTATTACTAAAAGGTTACAAAACGTAAATGATTACAAGTCTGGAATGAAAAACAACTAATTGTTAAACCTAAGAATTATGGGTGCAAAGTACGAGGCTTTCAAGTGATGTCCCCTTCTTATGCGATTTGATGCTCTATTTATAGTGATAAAGTGATGGTGGTTTCTTCCTTAGAATTTGAAATGTTCTTATAAATAATTAGGGATTCCGCGAAATTCATGGCTTGGTCTTTAATCACTATTTTCCATTTCTAGTAACCAATTCGTTTCGTTAAGATACTTGGGCATGATGATT